AATGGAGTAGAAGTATAAAGTAGCGGAAAATTAAAACACTCAACATATATACGGTACAAATTCCTCAAAAGTGTAGTGAAGCGCTGTACTTTAGTAAATGTACCTGCTGAACAGCTGTAAGTGTTCTCCAACGTTCAACTCAAAACATATTTGTACCTCACAACCCGTTGAGTTCTCTTCTGGTTGAGTTAAACAGCACAGAGCTGTGAAACGACAACGCACACAAACTGCATGTCAGTTGTCACAGCTGATCTGCATCCAGAGTGCTTCCTCCACGCGGTCAGCATCCTGAACTGCACTTCCTAATTCGGTGCTAACATGTTACAGATCATCACCTGACCTGAGCAGACGGTTTTAAAGCGTGTTGCAGTGACTTTAGACTTCCTGGTTACAGAGAGACGCTAAAAGAAGCTCATGGAAAAACAAACACGGGTGCAGTTGTTTACGCTGTCACGTTACTCTGTCTGTTGATTTTTTTGTTCGAGTCACTCTGATTATTCAAATATACAGCTTCTAAAACCAGGCAGTGCGCTGCAGGCCTCAAATGAAGCATGCTTCTGCAGCTGCAGGCATTTTGCTCATCTCTTAATGATTCAGAAACTCATGTTGGTGGAGAGTTATGCAGGCATTTCATCAGAAAGCAATGACCAATGACAGACCTGCAGATACAAGTGTTCATTCAATCAGGTCAAGAGCTTGCTGTTTTATTTTAATGGAGAGAGTAACAGTTGATTTTCTATTGTACAGACTACTTTGACGCATTAGTCAAATATATGTTAATGCATTTTTCAGAAAGTTAAATAAACCTACAGTGTGACCTAAAAAGGTAAAGCATGCAAACTCTCTGCAGGTGCATTTCAGGATCGAGGCACAGAGGAGGAAACAAAAAGTAAGGGAATAAACATGACCCACATGTGAAAGTCACCAGTAATATGGAGGAAAAAGCAAACCCAGCAGACAGTGCAGTAAATATAGTCTGTAAGTGTGATGTGTTTGGTCACAAATGACTGACGGCCTTCTCCTCCGTGAAAGTAAAAGTAATTCTGTTCTTTTGCTCTCGTCCTCACGGCCTGAATCGGTCCTGGCATGGCTCCAAAACAAACCGCAGCTCCTCCTCTGTGTAACCAGTACAGCATGGGCGATGTGGGAGGGGCGTGTCCTCTAATCGTCAACATTAACACAGCGGATGAGGACGTCCAACATCATGGGTCCCTGTCACCGTGCCCTCCCCCCCTCTACAGGGCTTAATACGCTGGGTTAAGGCTGTCCAAATATAGCACGGTTTCATGATTCAGACATGTGGTGTAAACAAACAAGTTAATTCCCATACGTCACCGACTGAACAGTACGCAGAGGCCTATATATATAGCAGAGGGCTATATATAACGGATTATTTTTAATTTGATTAGTTATATAAAGAAAGACATACCATATCAATACTAATACTCACACTGTAGCTTGAGCCGCATTGTAAAGCTCACTAAAGTCTGCACGACTACATCTGTCTTAAAATAACTCTGTAATGAGCGACAGAGAAGAGAAAGTGTTGCTTTTAACAGCGGCTCTTTGGTGTTAAGTAACACTTTATCCCAGATCTGTCCTGTGATTGGTCGCAAAAGCTTTGTTAAGTCTCTTTTTGGCAGCGTTGTGTGTGTGTGTGTGTGTGTGTGTGTGTGTGTGTGTGTGTGTGTGTGTGTGTGTGTGTGTGTGTGTTTCGTTGTCATCGAGGGTACACAGCAACCTGTAACAATGCTCTGGAAAGAGGCCAGGGTGGCATGTAAGGATGGGCAGGGGATTGAGGCGGCACAAGCACAGAACATCCCCGCTAATCCTGTTGTAAATAGCATTATGGGACAAATTGAAAATGGCCAAATATTTGATAAATATTTGCAGTGAGCTAAATGTTTTTTGGGTCTGAGCCTCCAGCGGAGTGAAAGCCCCCTGTGAGATAAACCCCAGGAGGTCTGGCTCTCCGTGGAGCGGTGTCGGGCTGTAGCTAAAAGTGTAATAATTAGCGGTTATATTGCCTGTACGTTATACATTATACTTTTTATTTTTGGACATTATAGATTTCTGAACTCTGTGTTTCTTATGGCAGTAATAAGTCGTATGAAAGGGGACAACACTTTTGGCAGGTAGTACACAAAAACAGTTAATATACTCCAAAGTATTGTGCTAATGCTAAAGGATGCATGAGTACATCTATGAATACATATATTCAAAAATGAGAAAATAATAATTGTTAAGCAGTTGGGCTGCAAAGTAGTGAAGAGGGCGCACTACAGTAGAGCCCAACGTTAAGCCTTCAGATTACTCGTTTTACTCGACCAACAGTGCAAAACTCAAAAATATGACGTATGGACTATTTCTAGCTGAGCCCTCACATTTAAGAAGCTGGAAGCAGGAAAAGGTCATCTTCTTTGAATGATAAATGACCAATCAAAATGTGATAATTGTCTCAAGCTTTTTAATATGTGATAGCTGATCATGGAGACGGACAGCGAACAAAGGGAGATGCAAACAAAGAAGCCTGGCTGTTAATAAACTGAAGGACATATCTCGCGATGTGTTGCACCACGGCATCTCCTCACCGATGCGTTAGATTAAGTCGCACATTGTTCTCCTCCGAAGAGTCGACCCAAGGTGTATGGGAATAAGGTCAGGGGTGTCGATCCAAAGCCGTGCCTCGTGTGAAGGTACGAGCCCCGTCGGACCCTCCGAACAAAGCCCGTATGTTGTCCGGTGTCTGCCCCGACACTCGGATGGACTCATTGTTAACCCCCTTTGCAGACAACAAAAGATCTGACCCAGAACCCAGTCACCCAATCATGTCATACACCAAACTCGGGGGTCAAAGGTGATCGCGGGTCGCAGCACGGTGCTCCTGCAGGGGTCAGAGATTAACGTGGCCGACCACTGCTCTCTTTCTCAGCTCATCGTCTCACATTAGAGAAACAGCAAATGATTCTCATGAGATCAGCTGCAACTAAACATTTACTTGATTGTCATGAATCAGCCGATGATCTATTGTCAGCTAAGTGTCCGAATACTGAAAGATCTCAACTCAAAGAAGAGCAGCAAATCTTCCCACTGGAGAAACAATCAGTCATTTGGATTGTCGTTCAAGTAATCGATATCGGGATATTTGTTGGAAAAGTAAATTATTGTCTTATGAGTCCAAACATCCTCTACGAAACCAATGAGACAAAAGCACCAAAGTGTGGAGATAACTCAGCTGCAGTTATTACCGAACACAATGAGTCTGCAGTGGTTGACAACACTTTACATTTTATATTTAGTTTTTGTTACATACGGGAGCCCTGAGAGGCAAGTGAGAACAATGAATTTGGTGATCCATTATCTGATCTAAATATTCTTTGCTGTGTTTATGACTTAAGAACAGGATCATGTTTCTTAGTTTCAGGTCATTTGAAACATACATTGTTCACATTTGCAGTATTCTTCTACTCTTTATTTGGCAGTCAGATTGTAAAAATTGTGCACAACTGAGCACCTTTCATTTGATCCACGCGGAGAGTGATCCGACGCTCAGGGATCCGTTCCTAGAAGAGGCTTTTCTGAGTTATCTGGAATCCACTTAAACCTGGACTGAAGTAACCGTTCAGTGTTTTCTCAGCAGAGTTCTCCAGATAACTCTGTAAACCTGCCTCTTGAGACACATCCAGGCTTGTTTTTGTGACCAATTACATTTTGGTAGAGAAGCAAACAAGTTAATAAAATGCACATAGAGAATCCATTATTTCCCAAACAAAGCCAGAAAGAGAGAAGTTCTCTGTCTTACTCTTCTGAACTCTCAGCTAGGAAATGATGAGTTTCCTAAAAACATTATCTTAGATTTAACAGTTTAACATCAACACCCAGTGCTTGTGTGTTGTTCCTACTTGTGTACATGTGTCGTGTCAGCTCCGTGCTGCTGGCTTGCATTTGCATCCTCTGAAGCCTGCTGGGACACAAACAACACAGAGAAAGAAAAAACTGCTTTGATGTCACGCTGGGGAAAAAGGAGAATTCCCATTAGGATGAGAACAGCTGGGGCCACCAGCCAATGAAGGACTGGGAGCGGGGGGGCTGTAAAGTGCAGATATCGTGTCGCCTAAAGGAACTGTTGCCTCGCTTGAGCGTGGCAACGACTTATTTCTGTGAAAGACAGAAAGCTTTTATATCTCCAACAGCTGTGATTTCTCATCAATTCGTTTAGCATATGAAGTATGTCGATATAGTTACGCTTCCCTTTAACTCATGTAGTTAGATTCAGTGTTGAGGATGTAAAAGACTAATATTCATTCACTCCAGTCAGTATGCATCAAACTGTGCTCGGTGAGTAAAGCTTCAGGGCTGCAGAGCGAAAGAACAACAAGAGATTTGTTTCCCTGTTCTGCTGTAGATCACTGCTGACATAAAGATCATGATGTGAGCAAGTTAGACCAAACAAAAGCTCTGGATTTGGCGAAGTAGACCTTCAGATTACATGTGATGAATGTTTAAGGAGCCGGGGTCGGGCCTGCATGCAGCATCTTTAGCTCACTAAACATAAAGCGATCTGACAGTCGCAGCAGTGCTTTGCAAACATCATCACAGGACTAAAACCTGTCTGTCTCTCTCCTCCTCCTCCCTGTCTGTCTCTCTCCTCCTCCTCCCTGTCTGTCTCTCTCCTCCTCCTCCCTGTCTGTCTCCCTGTCTGTCCCTCTCCTCCTCCCTGTCTGTCCCTCTCCTCCTCCCTGTCTGTCCCTCTCCTCCTCCTCCTCCCTGTCTGTCCCTCTCCTCCTCCTCCCTGTCTGTCTCTCTCCTCCTCCTCCCTGTCTGTCTCTCTCCTCCTCCTCCCTGTCTGTCTCTCTCCTCCTCCTCCCTGTCTGTCTCTCTCCTCCTCCTCCCTGTCTGTCTCTCTCATCCTCCTCCCTGTCTCTCTCCTCCTCCTCCCTGTCTGTCTGTCTGTCCCTCTCCTCCTCCTCCTCCTCCTCCCTGTCTGTCCCTCTCTACAGTCACCCTGACCGGAGCGACTCCAGCTGCCGTGAACGATGACGACAGCAAAACAGCAGCAGCGGCGGCGGAGGCCAAGATTCCTGAAGGCGAACTGTTGCTGCAGGTATTAGAGCCGTGTTCGTTGTTCTCTCTCTGTTTCTATCCACGTCACATTCATTCATGTATCGTTAATCATCTCTTTAACAGATTGTTTGCTGCGAACACAAACGCTTCTTTTCCCCAAAACAGCCAAAGTTTGATACGTTCGTTATGATTCAGAGGACAGCGATTAGTTGCTCTGATTCAGTTTGTGTGTCTGGACCTCTCTCGTGTTTTCACTTTGTTTTTTGGGGTTTTTTTTTCTTCCTGACAAGTGCCCAAAATCTATTTAGGCCAATGACCGAGGCTCAGAGGCTCAGGGCAGCTTACCATTCAATACGTCTGCCGCTGTCTGCCGCATCCTAATCTGAAAGAGCTCCATGTTTGGGATAACTTATCACAAAATGAGTCCTGCCTAAACATGGATTCCTTTGAACAGAGCTATGACGTGTAGAGCATGGTTTGTGGTTCAAATACAAGATTCAGTCAGTTTTCTTTTTACAACTTTGGTCCTATTTTTGTGGCTAACTGAGACTTCTTAACGTCATCACACCGACTGGTTCGCCTTCAGCTTGGCGGTATAGCGACGTGAAGTCATGTGACCACGGTGAAGTTCCTTTATAGCTTTACGAGACATGTCGAGTACATTTTAAACAAAGCAACCACCTAAGAAAAAACTATTATATACTATAAAAACTATTTTAAGCTTAGATTTGTTTCCTAACAGAAGCGTTCATTCGGTGACACATGATTCGTTCAAGGACCTTCAGATATTTAATAATCTCTCATTTGAAACTTATTGGGGTTCAATAAGACAAACAACATAAGGAGCAAATGGAATTAAAAAATAATCATAATTTGATATCATCTCTTTGTAAAATACAACATTCACTATTTGAAACATTTTGCCAGACTTCCAGGTCTCAGTTGAGCTTTTCTAAGGAAAGGGCGATGAACAGCTTTAGAGTAAAAACAATCCCTTCTGGTTCACGGCGGTTACGCGGCCTCTGCACCGTCACGTGGGATTGAGCGGAGAGCGAGCTCGCCGGCTGCCAGATCTTTTTGGGATCCGCCGGAGTCATTGATTTTCCAGTCCAGTTCCTCCCAATGTGCATCGCGACGGCATTCCAGGAGAGGAGAGGAAACAGCCTGCCCGCCGCGCCCCGACCCGACCGGGGGAGGTTTCGTTATTATGATAAGCCCGCATTTCCCCGGCTTGCTGGTAATGAGAAATGAAAGCTCATTTGGAGGAAAAGCGAGTGAGTGTTCCACAGGGTCTTCCTCCTCCTCCTCCTCCTCCTCCTCAGTTGGGATGAGAGGGGAGACGGAAGGCGAGCGGTTCACATGCTGAGGAATGCGAGGTATATTTCTGAAGCCTGAGTCTGAGTCTGAGTCGGTCTCCTTGCTGTTCTTCACATCAGACGTTGGTGAATTATAAACGAGAAGTGAGCGCATCAATTATTCAGACCCAGAAAATGGAGGAAACATGGCAGAAAGTTTTAATTATGGTTTACTCTTTCTTCATTATTGAAAACAAACATGCAGAATTGGTCATTGTTGACAATAGCTGACAACAAAGATCTTTATTCTCATGAATTTATTCTATTTCATGCAAAATAAATCTGTAAGCCGTCGCTCTTCTCGTGCTCACGCTCGTGACTGAATCCAATCACTTGCAGCCGGGAGGTTGATGAGTGCACATGAGTAGAATATCTGGTATTCAAAGATATGGCCTCATTTCTGACGGTCGCACAGCGTTGCACATCACAGCAGCAGAGCATTGTCTTCTTTTCCTAAATTTGAATTAACATTGTGGGGAAATTACACAAGAGGTTAAGATTATTTCAAGATTAGTGCAACATGAGGAAGTGAAGAAGTGATATCATGTGACGGAAGTTGGCGCCGGCTCGGTGGCTGTTTGTGTGAAACGCTCAACCTGACATTTGGATGTTTGTGTGTGGTGACTCAAAAAGATAACATCTCCAGCATTACTCATCTCTGGTTTAGGAAAGAGATGACTGTGCTTGAGTGGATGTGTGTGGACAGTTGCCTGTGTGTGTGTGTGTGTGTGTGTGTGTGTGTGTGTGTGTGTGGTAACATTTGGTAAACAGAGGGAGGGCATGGCGCGTTTAGTGAGGTGGAAACGTTGCACCAGCTGTTCCCCTTTGAAGAGAAACACTCAGTGTGCTCCATTTCACTCAGCATGCTTCCTCCTTTTCCTTCCTGGTCTCCTCCTTTCATGTCCTTCCTTCCTTCCTTCCTTCCTACTATACTTCCTTTAAAGATCCAAGCTTTTATTCTACTGTAGTGCTCCAATCTACTCCGACATTACGAACCTGAAGCTCCACTCTGCTGCTGTTACTAACAAATTGAGGAACTTTATACAAATTCTTTTACCTTTTACACCAATTAAATAATTCATATCATATCTTCATTGACTAATGGTCTGCATCTGGGCACAAAAAAAGATATTTACCCTCAACATTGTTCCATTATACAGGTTTGTGATTCACTGTATCTGTTTTGGATGCACACTTTGTGACAATATTCCTCACGTCTTTGATATCGAAGTGCAGAACCGACTCGTTTTCAGTCCAAAGTCACCGAATACGGCAGCCTGCTCAGGGGCCCGCATGCACATTGTGTCTCTTTGTGTTGTTTTGTGTCTTTTTGTGTCTCTTTGTGTTGTTTTGTGTCTCTTTACGGCCGTTTGATGTTTTGTGATTTTTTTTTTTTTAGGACATGTTGTGTATTTTGTGGTTGTTCTGTGTCTCTTTGTTGATGAAATGAGCGACATTCATCAGGATCACTTGCAAACCACCTCCTCATGTATAATATTTTGGTCGATCATTACTCACTGGAAGAAAGCGCAGGCAAAGCTTCTTACAATGTGTTTTCCATTTTCTTAACTACAATAGTTGAATGCCTCTGCTAACTGTCTGCATCCTTTGTTTGACCCACAGGCTCTCAACGGTTTCGTCATGGTTCTCACAGCCGGTGGGACCATCTTCTACTCCTCTCACACCATCCAGGACTACCTGGGCTTCCACCAGGTACTCTTCTCTATGTCTGTACCTCTGACTTGATGCTGTAGCAGAAAAAAGAGAAAAAGTGACATAGAGATCCCCCACTGTGGTCTCGGCCTCTACATCGCACACACCTCCAGCACCTGGCTTGAACAGTGTGTATTTATTAGCTCCGCTCCCCCCCAGGAGGGGCTGGGGAGTCTCCAAAATCAGTCACGAGGGTCTGCTATAATGAGCATGAAGAGGGTCATGTGACTGACAGATATAGCAAACAACAATGGCTACTTATTGGTGGATAAATTAAATGTACTGTCCCTTTTTTGTTATATTTTTTTACTGATGAGCTGCATACGAGCTATACCATTCCAGTTTAAATATGCAGGCAGGCTAGTTCTCATTCTTCCTGAAGCCTCTGGAATGTTGGCACGCCTTTAAACCCCTAAATTCATGAGCTAGAGGTATAAGAATTTAGCTTGAGCTAGCTCGGCTACCTTGTCCGTCTCATGTCCATCATCATGCCCACATAGCCGTCACTATGTGTGTATGTATTCTTTTTTAATACACTGGTATCTGATTGATACTCAATATCGGCCGATACACAAGTTCAGGTATGGGAATGTGTGTCGGGTACCCTAGCTTTGATTCGTCTCTGTAGAACCTATAGATGCACATTTCTGATCATCTTAAACGACCAGAGGCTCTGTTTTACAAACCCAAAGACCGGGTCCGGGTGGCAGCCTTGCGTGCAGCATCTGCTGGGAGCGGCTCGGGGGTCTCGTTTGACCCATCGGTCTGCTCTCTGCGTGGTGCACAGTCAGGGGCTCACACACCAGCAACAGGACCTGACCTATTTATAGCTTAGCCTTTAGCACGAGCCGGCGGTCTCAACGGTGGGGCCGCAGTGAACAGAGCAGCACACACTGAGACTCTGACAGCTGAGTGTTTACCTGAGCACTCGTGTTTCCAAGAAGTACACACTACAGGGAGGGTCTACCCATGTGGGACTACTGCTACTAATGCTGCTGCTACATCTACTACCATATACCTCTGTGACTGCAAAAACATGAGAGTAGTACACTCCGATTACTAGTTACTATCATGCAACACCCTAAACACCAAACCAACAAGCATGCAACCTGATATTATGTATTTCTATGATGGGTTTGTTGCTTTTGGATTATTAATATTATTTATAAGTACATTCTGACTGAGGTCAGTATACATTAAATCCCTGTACTAGTTATTTTTCAGGTGTATAATCTTGCGTACATCCTGCATGTAACGAGCTAATTCTTCCTCTCGTTGTCGTTTCTCAGACCGACGTCATGCACCAGAGTGTGTACGAGCTGGTCCACACGGAGGACCAGCAGGAGCTCAGGAGAAACCTGCACTGGGCTTTGAATCCTCCTCCTGCTGCCGCGCCTGCCATCACCCAGGACTCCCCCCAAGGTGACGCCTCTCTCCTCCTACGTGAGACTGTTATTTAGAGAAACTGAGAGATCCTACAAAAAATATATGTATTATATTGGCAAGGAAGTTGGTTTGTTGAGATGAAGGTTCTCTTTTGTCTCATCATGGCTCCTAGTCGTGTTTCTGCAATTGAATATTTAATGCCAGAAGGGCGGTTAAATCTGTACAGTTTGCAGATATTTTGTGGCAACTGGCCCCAAGACATAAAGACTTTGTGATGCTTTTGCCTCTTTATGTTGATATTTTGTGTCACTTTGTGGTCGTCATGCAGGTATTTTCCGTGCATTGGTTGAACATGCATCGATTCCTCTTTTTGCATTATCACAACTTCCTACAAGTCTCTGTATATCTGAAATCTATGACGGCTTAATTGCAAACTTCTACTAAATTGCTGTGTAAAAATAGTGCTGCGCTCCACTGTAGCCCACAGCCTGTGTGAACATGCACATTTGGACATCAATATCAGACGGTTAAGTTTGAGGCATTAAGCCATAAGACCATGCTCAGGTCAAGTCACATGACTCTGTAATCTTCAGTGTGGCTAAGGAAGTAAAGTGGCCCCAGATCTGTATTTGGGTTTTAAGTTGCTTACGTCTGTGTGGTTCTGAGCATTGTGTTTAGACCAGGACCCACAGCTCTGACTCAACTAACCCACTGCTGCACCGAGACGCCGTTCACAGTCTTCCTCCTCCACCAGCTGCAACAAACGCTGCCACCTGGTGTGTTGAGACAGTTCGCTCCAGGCCTCATTACATAAGTCTGCTTTATGTGATGAAGGGCAGCTGATGATATCAGACAAGATTAAAGTCCAGCTCAAGAACAAATGCAGTGGGCGGCATGATATGTTTATTGAAATGTGCTTTTAGTTTTTTAGTTTATTTGTGACATTATTTAGGCATACCAGGAATCAAGAAACACTGCTTCAGAGGTGTTGCGTACATGCACATGCACATGCACATCTCATTTTAAGATGTATCCTCCGTATTGTTCCACAAATCAAAATGAAACCCAATATGTGACCTGGGTGTCATTTCGAGAGAAATTATTTTTTTGATTGCATTGTTCAAAAGTGGATGTTGTGGATTGTTAGCTCACTGCCAAATTCTCCAGTTAAACTGACTTCATATTGTCATTGCAACTGACGTCGGCCCCGCATGTCTTCTTTTTGTAAATACAGAGATGGAACCTGACAGCAGCTCAGCCGTGGTCACCTACAAGCCCGAGCAGCTTCCCCCAGAGAACTCGTCCTTCCTGGAGAGGAGCTTCATGTGTCGCTTTCGCTGCCTCCTGGACAACTCTTCGGGTTTCCTGGTAGGTTCACACACGAGAGAGTGACTAGTCAATATCGGTGGTCTGTGAGGGGACTGTTGAGTCCACTCTTCCACCATATACCATCATTTCCACCAATACCAATTTTCCTAAAATACAACCCCATCACATTTATTGTGATATCCATGGAAACATTAATCAGATGAAGGCCTTTGCCAAAGCTCCTGTGGGGCTCTGCAGTCTCTCAGAGACTTGATCTGTTTTCCTGTCTCCCTCCAGGCTTTGAACATCCAGGGCAGACTGAAGTTCCTGCACGGACAGAACCAGCGGCAGGAGAACGGAGGGAAGGCGCCACCTCAGCTCGCCCTTTTCGCCATCGCGACTCCTCTGCAGCCTCCATCCATCCTGGAGATCAGGACCAAGAACATGATCTTCAGAACCAAACACAAGCTGGACTTCACACCTTTGGCCTGCGATGCAAAGTAATACTAACACATAAACATCCCTTGCATGTCTTAGTGTCAAATATCTTCTTGTCACTTGACTTGTTGAGAAATTTTAAGAGATGATGAAACAATCGTAGCAGAATGTTCTATTGTAGGAGACACTTCCTAGAAGAAGATCTGAGATGAGATGTAAGATGTGTTGTGTATCATGTATGATGTGTCATTGTGTAATCATGGTCTTTTTTTTGTGCAGGGGGAAGATCGTGCTGGGGTACACGGAGGCTGAACTGCGGGTACGAGGGTCTGGCTATCAGTTCATCCATGCAGCGGATATGTTGTACTGCGCGGAGAACCATGTCAGAAGTAAGTTGTGTTGGCACGCCACCGTGGTTTAGGGGTCGAGACACCGACCGGGAACCACGACGTTCGCGGTTTGAGTCTCGACCGGAGGACTTCAGTGCATCTATCTCTCTCCTTCGTTCCCTTTCATCTTTCTAATAAAGGATTCAAGCATCATTTGTTGTCATTATGCAACACAGGGATGCACAACATAAGAAAAACATGACAAACAAAATAAAACAAAAACAGGAGTGCATTCCTGTTGTGCATTTTTTTAATTTGCATCATGAGGAATGTAAACAGCAGCAACAAAAACAATTCTCTGGGCAGATAATATGGCTTGAATTATAAATTATAAATAAAGTCATAAAATGTCAAAGAAATAATAATAAATGACACGCACAGAAACCTCAGGTCTATTTTTTATCTGAATAAAAGAGAAGTGCATTTGGAGCCAGAGTGTGCAACACTTTCTTTTACTACATTCAGGTCTATTACCAGGTTATTAACATGTTATTAAATGATAATCTGTCACATCAAATTATGACAATAAAAGCTTTCTCTAACATAAATATAAAGATCTTGAAGTGACAAAAGGGCAACTCTCTCCACGTAGTTCTTCTGTTATGCTGCCACATCCTGAGTTACAGGTCTGCATAAACTCACACAAATATTCTCCAAATACTTTGATAAGTGTCGACACTTTGCAACTCATTTTATCAGACGGTGACAGTAGAGAGCTGACAGGAAAGGATAAGGCCACCAGGGTAGTGCCTTGAAACCTTAGACGACAAGCTCACCTCTGATTAATCCATGTCAGGACACTTTAGTCCAGTGTTTCACAAACTTCTTTTCTGCCGACTCACTTTAAAAAAAAAATCCCAACAAGCCATATCTATAAATCACGAGAAGAGCGAATGTTTCTGACCATCTTTGCCGACATTTCCACATCACCTTATATTATCTTGAAGAGGTAAACCAGCCATGTAGAACAGATATACGTTCAATTAATCACAACTTAGTTTTATGCATGTGTTATTGTAAACATACACGCGTGTTAAATACTTTATAAACCAGACCAAATAAATGCATTCAGGCAGAGGTAACAGGCGATCTCGTTCCTCTAGTTTCCTCTCAGTTAAACAAACTGCAGATATTAAAGATTGGAAGAAATTCAATGAAGGAAATTCTGCAAAAGTATTTATTGACCCTAATGAAATCTCTTTGGGAAATAATTTATAGAGTAACATAAATAAAAATCCTTTTTTGGATAGTCTGGAGGCAGTTATGTGGGATGCACTGTAACCGTCAAATCTTTCTTACATGCAAAATATTGAGGACAAAATGCCAAATCCAGCCACTCTGCTGATTTATAACGAAGAGAGAATTAGAAATAACAATCCATTCATCTTGGATGTTTATCTGACAGAAACCATTTTAAAATTTAGTCCCGTTGATAAAAGTTGAGGAGGTCTGCTCCAACCCAGTCAGAGAGTTCAGACAGCTTTCGTGAATAATCCCGCTGGATTACGAAGCAGATTTAGCAAAACTGCAGAGCTCCCAGAGGAGAGGATAGAGACCACAAATCCAACGCTTGAGCGAAGCATCGGAGATGATCCATACAGCAACACACAGACACTTCGGAGGTCAACGGTAGTGCAGCCATTCGTGTGGTTTAATCAAGATGTTAAAGCTACGAGAACTTCCTCCGTTCAGCCGAACGTTGAACTACTGGCCACATTTAAACGAACATTTCTGCTGATATTCATCATTGATCCGCCAGAGCGTAACCGGCCATCAGCAAGCCACAGCTTCCACTTGTTCCCAAAGATTTACAGGATTTCTCTTGATTGATTTTCCATTTAATATTAGTTCCCCTTAAAGGAAAACTTCAGCCACAAAATGACCGTTTTTATATGAATTACTCGCTGAATGTTACTCTAAATTCTTGAGGAAAACTTTAGTTTTGCAGATATTAAAGATTGGAAGAAATTCAATGAAGGAAATTCTGCAAAAGTATTTATTGACCCTAATGAAATCTCTTTGGGAACTGGATAAATGATACTTGGATTTTACCACCAATGTGCAACATTACAGTTTTGGACTCTGTCACTGCTGAAATAAAATGCTTTCAGCGGGTTTATATACTTTTTGTCACGCAGTTCAGTCATCATACGTGTGTTTGTGTCCTATATCTGTAGTGATGAAGACTGGAGAGAGTGGTCTGACGGTGTTCAGGCTCCTCACCAAGGAGAATCGCTGGAAATGGGTCCAGGCCAACGCCAGGCTGGTGTACAAGAACGGCAAACCAGACTACATCATCGCCACCCAGAGGCCTCTCCTGTATGTTTTACTGTCCATTTCTGTTGTGTTGTAAACCAACCAAAGACAGGCAGAGTAAACTTCTAGCTCCTTGATATAATATAAAACTTTCTAGGGGAACAAATTATAGTTTCCCATGTGTTTTAATCTGATTTATGCAGGGAATTTAGCTCAGTTATTCAGTCATGTGAAAACTATGAATAGAAGCATGTATAGTTTTCAGTTATGATGGGACACAGACTGGGTAAATGGGCAAGCTAGCATCCTAAATAAATGAATTGTGTCCAGACAATAATCATGTTTTCCGTCTTTATAGGGATGAAGAGGGAGGAGAACACTTGCGTAAGCGCTCCATGCATCTACCCTTTACCTATGCTACAGGTGAGGCCCTGCTCTACCAGTCCAACCATCCCTTAGCAGCCTTTAGAGACGGAGGCCATGACAAAAATGGCATTAAGTCAAAGAAGAGCCGGACTGAAAGGCTGGTGAGGGATGGCTTGGACCCTGGCTCTCTTCTCGGGGCGCTCATGAGTCAGGATGAGTCGGTGTACGTTTGCCAGCCCGCCCAGGAGCCCAAAATGTCGTTCCATAGCTTCTTTGGACAGCAAATGGGCTTCTCAGACTCTGAACCCTCCAGCCTGCACAGGAGCTGGGACGAGCCAAGCAACGGCGTGCTGGGTCCAGGCCTCACGGAGCTGGGCAACAGCTTCGACCCGCTGCTGGCTACTCTGGATTCCCTCTCTCTGGAGGGCCAAGGGGTCGTGGATTCGGAAGAGGGGGGTTGCTCAAACGGTGATCTGTTTGGAGCTCTGGAAGGTCTGGGGCTGAGCGCCGAGGACCTGGAGCTGATGCTGCTAGACGAGCGGATGATCAGGGTCGAGATGGACCCTGAACGCGTGCCCACCTTGGACGACCTGCTGACAAATGATGAGATCCTTTCATACATCTACGACTCCATAGAGGGGAAGACGGAGCCCACAGAGCACCGAGGGCAGGTGCCTCTCAGCTCTGCCTCGAAGACAGCCACCGCAGTGTCGCTACCTGAAAGCAATGCCTCTTCTGACGCTAACGTGCAAATGCAGCTTCCTCACCATAAGCCTCCCCTTGTGGGGCACGCTCCCATTCTCCAGCTGTCCCAGCAGATGCAGCAGCACCTCAACATGCGGCCAGATAAAGTGGTGCACGACAGGAACCAGCAGAGCAACCACTTGGCCAGCACCGTAGTTAACGGAGAGCTGCTGGGGCAAAATCAATCAATCACCAATGGACAATGGAAAGCCCAAGACATTCCAGTCGGTGCAGGGATACAACTGGAACACTATAAAACGCAACAGACTGTTTTCAATGGCAAGGCCTCGGAGCTGGACGGAGAGCTTCATCAGCAGCAAACGCATCAATGCTACCTTCAGCAGCAGCAGATACCCAGGGTGCAGAACCATCTCTCACAGCAGTGCCGTGCCGATCAGAAGGCAGCCAACCTCAACGGACTGTGTGGCATCTCCAGCACGGAGCATGTGGCGGGAAAATCCCAGTGGCAGGACTACGGATTCAGTCAGAGTCTGGGAGGCACCTCCTGCCTAGAGAACGGCCAAAAACCCCCGACAAACCCCTCGCTAGACTCTTGCATGGATTACAGCATGCCTGATATTGACGATGCGGATTACACCATGAGCGGAGGTGGTTTGTTTGGGAGGAATGGACAACAGAGCGGGGCCGAGTCCACAGTCTCATCCTTCCAGGGGATGAACCGTAAACTGCAGCCGGAGCAGATCCCAGTTCCTTTGGCGCAGGTCATCTCCAGCCTGTCGCAGTGCCCTCCCCCCAACGCCTCCCTGGAGCAGATCCTAGGAGTGGCCAAGCCCTGCCGGCAGTTGGACCACTATGGCATGGTGGCCTCTGAGATCCCTCATGACCCCGGTCCCAATAAGGTGAGGATGCTGAAATGCTGACATGTTGTTATGGTTTGAACTTGGCAGTTCATTCTTGAGTTTTCGAAATCGTATGTTTAATAAGGATCTATAATATCAAAAGGTATACTTTCTGGCTTTTTGGCACTTTCAACATGCCTCTCGCACTCTTAGCTAAAAATGCTGTTTGGGGATTGGTTTTCAAAACGTTACAAAGAATAATGCATCATTGTCATTATGTCTTTGGTAACATTGTTTGTATTTAGCCACACTAGCACTGGTGCTCTAGGGGTCAGTCCAACAGAGCTTCAACAATGGATTCATTGATGAAAAGAAAATGATTGGCATCGTTCAAGTCATTTTTTCAAGTAAAAATACCAAACATTTGCTGGTTCGACTTTCGCAAATATGATAATGTGTTGCTTTTCTTGGTCTAATATTATAGTGGAATTATTATTTGGGGCTTGTCACCATGTCTGATGTTCAGCCTGTATCTTGACTTTTAAGTGAGATGTTCTGCAATTTGATTAAAGCGTTTTATGATCCCTGACAACGATGAATAATATGCATTATTCATTATAAAAAAAGGTATTAAATCTTACTGTTTATGGATCACACTTGAATCAACTTATATTAATAACTATGTTGTGTATCAGGCCTATGTCTATAACCCAGAATAGGACGATAGTTCTGAGGAAAAGGCCTGAGAGGAGGAACAGCGCTGTCTTTTTTTTCTACATCTGTGTCTTGTTTGTTTTGTTCATTTCGGGTCATTGCTCAAATATTCAGAGGTTAAAAACACGGGATGTGCTGCGACCTGCAAAAGATGGAAGCGCTGCACTGTTGTTTTTTATTTTCTGCAGGACAGAATGAGAAGAGATGCAGTGCAGAGATTCTCAACCTAACACGCAAACAGTGGTGCAAGAAGTACAGTTTAATATGTTGTAGTATTTGGAGAAAAAAGATTAGTCATTCGAGTTGACTCGTTTCTTTCCCTTTCTTTTTACTACGGCGGAAACGTTTGCTGTATTTAATATGATTGATGTGATTTATTAACAATGTGAAAAAATACAGGTATATACTTTACGTCAAGTCACCCGTTTCGAGCACTATTTTAAAAATACATGCTTGTTTTACTTTTGTTTGATTTTTAAATTGTATATCTCATCACGAAACACTGGAGACACAAATGGTGCCATACTGCTGAGAACTTCAATCTTGGAGTTTTTCCTTGTATTACTACCACACCTCCCCCACATGGTTATTCTAACAACATGGGTTTAAACATTCAATTCATTTAACTTTAATGATGAAACTGGGTGTTGAGGGCGTTTCTGTTTCCTGAGCATTGCTTCCTCTTCCTCCATATATGACTGTATATTATAGTATAACTTCCTGCTGTGTGTATTCACGACGTCCTCTTGCCTCGTGCAGATGGAGAACGGCTGCCTCCTGACCGGTACTTACCCAGGAGGCTGTGCTCTGCCCAATAGAAACGGAGCAGCGCCCCCAGCTGTCCAGATGCCCGTCCCCGAGACTTTGTCCAGCCTCCCCGACCCGCCGGCCACCGGCTTCTACCTCTGACCAGCTGCCCCGCAGCAGGACACACACAATGACTGGACCAGCCTTATACTTCTAGATAACACGACAAACAAAGCTGAATAAACGTAGGCCTAGAGGTTTCCAATTTGTAATTATTATTTTGTTTGTGTGTTTGTTGTATATCCAGTTATATTATCATACGAGTCCTTTGTTTACAATAATGCAGTCGAGAGAGCTCAGTTTATTTGAAGTAATACAGAAAAGTTTTTTTAAGATGATTTTCACAAATCTGCGTTCAGATACAACACGAAGCAGAATTTAGAGTTAGAAGCGTAACAATAAAATATGGATAGTTCTGTTATCCAATATTTAAATCTTAACACACATTATTGATCTGTTATTTCATGGCTTTTTGTTATATTTTGTACGCAGTGAAAACGTAAGATAACACGAGGACGACGTGTCCTAGAATATTCATAAATAACGGGTTAATATTGTGTGTTGTTGGGTAAATGACGGATATCAGTGTATTAGTATAAATTGTTGAATACCACTTTATTAGTAGATTAAGGGATTAGCTGATCAATGGGAAAATTGATTATTATTTTTAGTAATTTTTTCAAGCGTCTGCTGGATCCGGATTTGCTGACTTTCTTCGTCCTACATGGAATTGAATTGGACATATTTGAGTTTTGGACAGTCGGTCGGACAGAACAAGACATCTGAAGAAGTCTTTGTCGGCATATTTTGCAGTCCTGAGATATGAACAGTCAAAGAGAAGCAAACGAACTGAGGCGGAGACAGGTGGTCGTCCATCTCCACGTCATGAATGTACTGAGGAGGAACATTACTGACAAATATCTGACAAAGCATCAAATGCAGTTTTATGTTGTGACTTTGTGTTTCCCATCAGAATTTTCCTGTTTTCAATCATTTGGTTTTAGGGTCATTTGGTTCACTTTGTACCTGAACGCACCATAAAACACACACACACACACACACGACTCCCAACGTGACTGCAGGTTTTTTGGTTTCCGGCAGTTGGCAGCATCGCGCACAGGTTTTTCCGTCATGTCACAAGAATGTAATCTTTCATTTCTTTCTTTGTTGAACTCGTCAACGAGATTAATCCATAAATGTTTTAGTTTTTTTTAAGTATAGAATATGGAAATTATGGCTAGAAATATCCTGCACTTTATTTCAAGCAGCCGCTTAATGCAGACGTGTGGTCCGGGATACTGTGGTGATGAGAAACATCCGCTTTATCTCTGAAGCTACCGATGCAACATGGACCCGTTTGCATTTTACTTTATTCTTATTTTGAGGCACATTTCAGGTGACGGGTTAATGTCCTCACAAGCACAAACACTTCCGTACAATTGTTAGTGTCATCATTTTTATCTTCCTCCACTTGAAGTATTGTTATTATTTTGTCGTTGATGATGTTGGACCTCTGGATGAGTTTTCTTTCTTTTCTTTTGGTTAAAAGTTGAACCGACTTGAATAGAAGAAGTCCTTTGTTCCTGTATTTATTCCTGCAGCAAGGAAGCATTCTTGATTGTTCTAAAGTTGATGTTTGAGACATTCTCTTGTACAGAAATAAGAAAAGACGTCGTGCTCCGTCACCCCTCTTAGCTAAGCGGCGGTTGCACTTGCTCTCCTCGAGGGAATCGGTGAATCCAGACACAAGTCCATCGCAGCAACAATCCCAGATAATTAAAGGAAAAGTCTGACGTCTTTGAGGACGTGAGGAAGCGAAGGCCGATATGAACTCGCAGAGATGAACTCATATCGATCTTCTCATCCGACGTTTTCTTTTAAACGGTAGAAAGCGTGGTGATATATACTGTATATCAGGTGTGTGACTTCAGGTCTACGCAGCAGCGACAGAATGGCAAACACTGAAACAAAACCAAATGTGAGTTTTAAAAGAAGAAGAAGAAGAAGAAGAAGAGATCTCTACTGGATGGACACAGATCTGAATGTTTCTTGTATTTAGCAAAGCGACTGGAAAGTGATGCGGAGTAGAATCATTTCATGGCGAAGAGATGCTGAAAAGAGATTTCCATTTTAATTGTTCAAATAATGTCATTACTATTGGTATTAATATTATTGTTCTATGTTTTATGTTGAAATGTGATACACGCGTGGTTACATGTCATTCGAGTTGACTCGTTTCTTTCCCTTTCTTTTTGCTACGGGCGGAAACGTTTGCTCTATTTAATATGATTGATGTGACTTATTAACAATGTGAAAAAAAGACAACAAGCAAACAAGCTTCGACAAATACAGCTATGTACATAGTTCTACGTCAAGTCACCCGTTTTGAGCACTATTTTTAAAAACACATGCTTATCAATCTCCTTTGTTGATTTCTTTTATTTGTCTTTGTTTTTTAAAGTGTAAATAGTACTCTCATCATGAAACACTGGACTCTATGACAGCCTGAAGATGGTGCCATACTGCTGAGACTTGTTCAATAGATGTTGGAGAGTTTCATTCTGTCTCTTGGTTTAGCCACGCTAACGTTAACATGTTAACAGGACTAGGTGCAGCTGTGACTCGTGTCCTTTGACTGCTTGTTTCAAATCTATTCTTTTTCTTCCTTTTTGAAATAAAAAGGAGTTCTTCGATCACAAAAGTGAAAAAAAAACACAAACATCTCTGAGAGAGAGCTCCGGTTTTTTATTCACTCTGGGCAGTGAACAGCTAACGGGGGGGGGGGGGTCCTGACCTGTGTCACCGGCTCCTGACCTGTAGAGGTGCCATGTGCAGCGTTTTAACATCAATAAATCATTACCACATTAACTCTGAGACTCTGCATGATTAACTGGAAACGGAGCCGCTACAAACAACAAAGATGCTCAGTGCTCATTTTAGAAGCTCTTGATGCTGCAGAGCAGTGGAGCAATGTAACTAAGTACATTTACTCACATACTGTACAGTTCTAATTTTAGGGACTTGTACTTCTACTTCGTCAATTGTACATCAATGCATGAGTAATAATAATTTAATGATGCAACATATTATGATATTATAGTTCTAATAGCCATTTTTCTGCATTGAGGCTCCTGCATCCTTGCAGCTGCGGTTGACGGGACTCGGCCTGACATAGCACGCGCTGCCTGCAGACTTCACCGTAATGCGTTGTGATCGCCGGGCGGCCAGAGGGGGAGCAGCGCTGGCATTCTGAATAGGTCGACGAGGGACATACCAGTCACAATATGGTCCCCACACCGTTGCAGGCTTCTTACACTTCACACACACACACACACACACACACTGCTGAGGAGCTGTGTGGTGTCTCTCCACATTTCTTCACACAGTGAAGACACTTGTTAGAAGATTTGGAGGTTCAAGTGTGTGAAAAGTCACTGTCATAAGTGGACTTACTAGTATTACTCCACCGAGGAGTAAACGATCCAGGTTTTAAATGCTCTAACGTTCTGGGATTGTTCCAATAGATTTTAAGAATTATTCCACAAATTTAAATGAAAGAAAATGAGGCTTTTATCCTGTTTCCAGTTCCCAGTTCAAGTGTTTTGATGCATTCCTGGATTTTAGGAAGGTGACTAGATGTTCAGGTTTAAGGCTTTCGAGAGTTCTCAAGTAATTCAAGGCTCCACAATCGACTAAATTTACAATAACCTTTTGATATGTATAGCCTTTGTTCCAGACCTGCATCACATACATATAGTTGTAGATCCTTAACGGATACATGTGTCAGGATTTGTCCATTAAAGTAAATGTAATGTAATGCGATGCGGATGAAATGACTCGATGTGCACACATAGGCTACTCCGATTGTTAACCTCGTTTTAGATTTGACATAAGGTCGTGGTAAAAGTGATCACACATTATTTCACAAGATAAACCCAATAATAGCGACATTAATATGAATACGTGGAAGCGAGAGTCAGAGAGAGGCAACAGGGACGTCACTCTGAGTGGGTGTGTAGTGGCCTATTTCCAGGGTGAGGCTGAATGGTGGTTGGAGGGGGGGGGGGGGGGAAAACCCTCCCTTTTTTTTGGAAAGACATCTCTGCCTAAAGAGAGAACAATGGGACTAAATGTGCCCGAGGCGTGTTGTTATAGACGAGAGCTTTGTCATGACTGCAGACATATTTAGATAATAACTGGCCGATGTTAGAGTCGCCCTCTGAAGTGGAGGGAGAAGGGACGAGTGACTCACCCTCCCCCCCCGGTACGTCTCCCCTCTCTCGGCCTTTCAGGGCCACGCTGTGGTTTTCATGGACGTCAGATACAGAAAAAGAAGCTGCGAGAGAAAAACATCCTGCACGCGGAAACATTTTGGCCGTCTGAGTTTATCTTAATTAAAAAGCTGTGGGAGTGTTTAGATGAGATTTTGACTTGTCTAAGGAAAGTATAACCAAAGTATTTTGTTATATTATTTCCATTTCATGCTACTTTATACTTCTACACATGAGAAGCAAATATCACACTCTTAATTTACCTTTTAGTCTTCAGCTCCAAGCTTTTACATACAAATAAACACATATGATAAGCTTATAAAACATAATGCATCTTCATAAATGAAACCAGTCAATGTCTACCTTTTTGGCTGGTGGCCCCATGCAAAAGAAAAGCAGTAGGGGGCCATGCTAGTGTGATTGATCCATCTAAACGTTACACGCGATTTTATTTGAATTTACTGTTCGAGGCAAAAACTATTCCAGAATACAAATGTTGCAGTACTTAGCTTCCTCCCCCGTTAAACATCTCACACACCCCCAGATTTATTTTCGGACCCTTTGGAGGGGTAGTTGGTAACCACCTGGGAGGACGAGCACCAGTTAAAACTGTAACATGTTATGCATTGAACATCCGTATTAATGTAATATATTCACACGGATTTCAGCAGAACTAGTATACCTTAGCTTCTCTTAAATTACATTTTGTTGCTTCTGTGCTTTTTAAATCAGTGGGATTTCAATTTTAGCTTGTTCTTATTTTCTATTAGATTGAAAATGTTCTTTTATAATTTGTTTCTTTTGAACTTTGTCTTTTGACGTTTCTATGTAAAGTGCTTTGATTTGCCTTCCTGCAGAACCTCACAGGTGTTCCCACTTATACTCTGGCCAATCAGACCTCTGCTGTGGTCGCAGGTGGGCGGAGCTTTGCCGGGAATTACATGAGCTCATGAAAACAGGTGCAACGCAACTAACAGGAGAGTGAAGATTGAAGATGTCAACCAATCTCAAGTACTGCAGAGGTAATTAAGTGGAAACACCTGTGTGTGTGTGTGTGTGTGTGTGTGTGTGTGTGTGTGTGTGTGTGTGTACCAAGGCCTGGTACAGAATTTAAAACATTTGGCTGGTGAAACATGATCACCGCTGAAGGCTTATACACTGTAGACCAGGAATGTTTCTGCCTCAAAGCCTCAGGGCTGAGATGAGTGCACTGAAACCAGATGATATCATGCAGGTTCACCAGAAACCTCTTCAGCTGAGACTCCAGCGGGGCCTCCAGCAGAGACCGGTCCACCGTGGAGAGACCCAGATCTTCCAGCAGAGACCGGTCCACCGTGGAGAGACCCAGATCCTCCAGCAGAGACCGGTCCACCGTGGACAGACCCAGATCTTCCAGCAGAGACCGGTCCACCGTGGACAGACCCAGATCCTCCAGCAGAGACCGGTCCACCGTGGACA